GAACTGGCGTAAAATGCTTACAGAGAGCTAAGTGAAGTGGAAATGCGCTTCTGAAGTCCTATGTTCTACTCAGAACCCAAAGCAATAACAATAGTAGTAATATGTAAAACGAAACCACTGGCTGAATCCATTGCGTTATTCTTCTTTGCTATTGAATTTAAAAATTGTTTGAAAACATTTCGAAAGCAAAATGAACTTTCCTTACAGTAGATACTGAAGCCAAACCTTTGCACTGATAAAACTAAACAAATTTTATTCAGATTGATGTATATTATTAATTATTTTTATTTCATTCCTTTACGTTCCCAGTGGGACATAGAGCTTCAAGTCAGAGACTTGAAATGTTCGTAGCAGTGGTGTTTATTTTTAAGGGATGGTGATGCTAGCCTCATGCCCAACCTTCCCTCTTTACCAGTATTATTACTAGCTGGGCGAGGTTCGGTAGTGTATCGGCTGGGGATCGAACCCCGGACCACAAGAGGCGTGGTTGGCGAGCATTCTACCGCTGTGCCACCGGCTTACCGCAGGTACTAACCAGGCTCAAAGTCGCTTAACTTCGGTGATAGGACTAAAAACCCGGTGTTTTCAACGTGATTTGAACGCCGACTGTGATGTGTCTTGTCCTGTGTTTACTGCAGATTGAATTCTATCAGTCGAGTTTGCAATGTGGCCAGCATGCTAGGTGGCTCACCATCATGGTGCACTTTGAATTGTCGTTATTAGATGGTTGGAGGCGGTCAGCAGGAAGCCTTACCTAAACATAGGTTTCGTGCTAGTTGGCACTCACCAGTCAGCAAGGCATATCTGCAACCTTGAAAGATCCGATGTCCCTCCTGAGATACGAACCCGTGTCATCCGGTGCAGGACTGCAATCAGAGATGTTACCACTGAGCTATTCGGGATCATAACTGATGTATGCATTACTTAATTGGTTTTCATCTAGAGAAATACCACCTTTCTAATAAATTAACTGTATACCTACTTCTAAAATGATTTGTTGATATCGGGTGTATCTTCTTTACTAAACTCGATCGAATCGAAAACACTTATCTTAATTATTTACGGACAAGCTGATATGTAACATATATTTATATGCATATATATACAAATGTATATATATATATATACATATATATATATATATATTGCTAAAATGAAGGCTTTTTTATTCATACTTCCCAAGAATCGTAAATAATTTAAACTGTAGCTGTGTGAACAGAACTGAAGATGGAGATAACATTTGACTAAGAATCAACTCAAGTGTTATTGTTATTATTTTCATCATTGTCATAAAAGAGTAACAAGTGGATAGATAAATTGGCTGAGACAGTTAAAGATTAAATGTTACTTACTATTCAAGAGTTACTTAGTAAGGATTTGATTTCTTCTTCTCAGATTTCATTATCGATTGATGTCAGTAGGACTTGACTAGAGAACGAAGTTGCCTAGAGTTCAAGTGAGATGTTGTGACTAGGAAAGTGCACCAGGTTGGTTGTGAGGACAAATACTCACCACCGATGACATAGGCCAGTGGTCGCGTTAAAATCCCGTGTGGACAGAAATTTGAATCGGCTGAACTGTTAACGCTACTGACTTCGTAGTCTTAAGACTGTGAGCTCCTTTCTCATTGGGATAGCGAGTGCGTTTTGATGAAGAGCCTTAAATATTACTTGACAATGCATGTCGGTGTCATTCTTTAGCAGTCAATACTCTACTCTGTTATAAAATACAGCTGACAGATTGATCATCAGAACTTTTCAAATAATGGAGGAGATTTTCAGCTCATGTGGATAATCCTGATGTCATTAGGTTCCTGGGGACCTGGACAGCTTAGTTGCTACGCTTTCATTGTCTATCTCGACAATAACTTCGCTTCACTACACTGCTTTGCTTATATGCCCTTACTCCCTACCGTTTTAATGCAATTTTCTATATATCCGGTATAGTCGGTGGCATAGCGGTTAGGACGATCGCCGACCATGGACGTGGTCTGGAGTTCGATCCCCGGCCGACGCACACCTGATATCAGTGGTCGGCCTGCTAAAATTGGGCTGCCCGTATTACATGCTGAAAATTCCATAGTTGTATCAAAATACTGTCTGGAACCAAGCTATAATAAAAAATACAAAAAAGATAAAGGAGTTGCGTCATTTCGAATGCACCAATTCGGTGTTGATTCGACAAACGAAGATTCGCTGTTTTTTAAAAATATCCGCTACTACTGGGATATTGGTGACACGCCATTATTTTGTTGGTAGATTTCATTTTTAAATTTGATTACATTGGGGGGGGGCAGACACAAATGAGCAACTAATATAAGCTGAATAACCTAAAAACAATCTCAGCCACTGCAATAATAATCATAATTTTGCTTTATTCCAAAACAGTACTTATCATAGAGTCTGGATTAAAATCTCAGATATTCAAGTATTGGTTTGTAGGGATTTGATTGGTTACAGGATTTTCATTATGAGCTGACATTAGTTAGAGAACCATTGGAAAACCTGGGAGTACTGGACAGCTGTTTCGTCCTAGTTTGGGACTCTTCATCAGTACGCACCCACGCTCATGATGAAAATCCTGCAACCAATCAAATTCCTACAAACCAAAACTTGAATATCAATGAGATGCTCACTAGTGACTTGCCCTATTTAGGTAGGTAGTTGCCTGAGAAGTCGTGACCAGTAGGGTGCAGCAGGTCGGGCGTGAGGACAAATACTCGCCGAAGACATTGGCTAGGGGTTGCGCTATGTCGTGAATTGGCAGAAGTTAGAATTCATGGACTATTGGATCGGGTCCCAGTGGCTTAATGGTATGCGAGCTCGCCTTGTAACCAGAAGGTCCTGGGTTCGAATCCCGGTGGGTGAAGAGTCCCAAACTAGGACGAAACAGGTGTCCAGTACTCCCTGGTGGTTTTCCAATGGTTCTCTAACTAATGTCAGCTCATGATGAAAATCCTGTAAAATCTCAGAATTTCGTATCATATTTGCATCGGATTTACTCAGCAACAGCTACAACAACAGAAAAAAATATACTAAAGCGTACATTAAACTAAAACTATTGATAACCATCCATCAAAACATTTTGGTATTATTGGGAACAGCAGGGTCAAAATGATGCACAAATGTAAAATGATAATAATAATAATAATATTGTAACAATAGAAGGCAAGACACAGAAGCCAAGGTATATTCTCAAGTGGTGAAACCGCTCTTTATATATATATATATATATATATAGTTCATATTCTATAACCAATCATTGAGCGTGCGATTTTGCTTTACTACATTAAACGACATGAAATAGAATGCTCAAATATACATAGTATTCCGTTGCTAACGCCATATTGAACTGTGGGAATAAATGAGAATAATAATCCATCGGAACATATTGTCTTTATCACACCATCACAGTATTAGTGTTAATAATACAAAATTATAAGATAATGGGGATAGTGAGTGTCAATATAAAATTACAAATAGGGGAGAATAACTGAGTCATCTTTTCTAAATGCTAATAGCACCGTAAGTGATAAGTTTCACTATCGCTATTACATCGAGTGCGGGCAGATCAAACAGGGTATCGGTGGCTTTTTATAATTGATTGTGCAAGCGAGCATATAATCTTTGATAATCACTTCTAGTTCTAATTGTTGAAATACAACATAGGGAGAGTTGTGAATGTATATTTTTTTGATTACAGCTTGATTCCACACGGTACTTTTGGTACAAGTATGGAATTTTCAGCATGCGATATCGGTAGCCCAAATCTCGCAGGCTAACCATTAATATCAGGTGTGCGTCGGCAAGGGATCGAACCCCGGACCATGTGATGGTTGGCGAGAGTCCTAACCACTGTACCACCGACGCACAGACAATATGGATTTAGACCACTTGTCACAATGTGATTCTACAGTCAATGATTCAGAATGACTCGAGGATATACGATTCAGTGAATAACCTCTTCTATTTCCCACTTTTTAATAGTTTCACGCTGACCCACTAACCCAACCTATAGTGAGATTGTATGCAAGTGAATGTAATGCAAATGTCGGGCTCTATTTTTTTCTAGTTTATTTAACTTAGTAGGGTCAGTCACTCCACGTCTAGCTAAATTCCGATAATGTTCTGATAATCGAGCTGACCCCGATCTACTAGTTTCACTGGCCTACGCAATTGACCTCACAGTCATTACTCGGTGTTTTGCATGTTATATTACTTTTCTCAGTCGGATTTATAGGGTTGTTAAAGTGGCAAAGTTTATCTCTGAGTGAGGTGGCTGGTCTGTTGGTCGGTTTAAATGCCACCCCGACCAATTCCAGCCTCATTGCGAACTCCACTTAAGGCCTCTGACGTTGCTTCCTTATACAGCAGTACCATAGAGACCTTGAATTCTATATTATTTTCACTATTTTCGTAATTATTATTACTAATCTTATTTTTCACCTATGGTTATTCTTGCATTTCTGAATAAATTCTGGTGAGTAGTAGTTACTCACTAGTAATACTTCCTTTATTTGTTTGATTTCATAATATTCAGGTCTTCTGACTTTACCGGATATATGGAAAGTGACAACAAAAAACCGGGGGAGGGGGGAAGAGAAATATTATGAAGCTGTGTGACTGAACTGATACGCTTATGAGAGGTTATAGTTTGTGCCTGAAGCGCCGTCGAACTGTTAATACTTCATTACTGTGTGATGTTCTAAAATAAACTTATCTAATATGGAGTTACATTACATTAGGCTTGTGATAAGGTTAAAAATAGGGCTGAACTAGTAGTTCAAGAACATGAGGTTATAGAAGTGTACACCGGCTTAAAATGAGTCATTTTTTAAGAGAAACACCCTTATGTGACATTTCAACCGGCCTTCCTTATCAAATGCCTCACTCATAGATGAAGTTGATACTTAAACTTGAGTTAACAGCAAAAGCATTACGTAATATATATCTATTTTGTATATTTCGCCTTTTTTTTAACTTTACAGTACTCAGTAAAATATGCCGGAACAACCGACAGATTATCGTGTAGCTGTATTTGGTTCCGGTGGAGTTGGTAAAACATCCCTTGTACTTCGTTTTGTACGTGGAACATTTCGTGAAACATACATTCCGACAATAGAGGATACTTACAGACAGGTAAGTGGTGTTATGAAGCGAAAAAGAGCTGGTAATTTATTTACATTATAACTTGTTTGCTAATATTAAACGATTTAATTTAATTTTAGATTTTCCCGTCGATTGATTGGACCGAAGTGCTCGGTCTCAGGTTGACATGTCGGCTTCTTGTGCAGATGCTTCAACAGTGTCTAGGCATGTGGTTAGAAGTTAATTGGTGGGTGGTGACTAGCAGTGGAATCCAGGATAACGCATATTTCGTCCTATTTGGGACTCGTCAGATGGATTATTATTACATGCCCAGACATCGTCGAAGCATCCGCACAACAAGTTGGCATATCAACCTGAGACCGAGCACTTCGGTCCAATCAATCAATGGGAAAATCTAAAATTCAATTAAATGATTAATATGACCCATTGCACAAGATGTGGATCTCTTGTGGCGCAAGTGGTCTAGTGGGTAACGCTTTGGCGTTTCAAACTATGGACACTGGGTTCGAGCTTCGGTGGGAATGTCATCACTCAGTGGGGAATGCAGGTACATCCGTCTGACGAGTCGCAAATAGGATGAAATGCGCATCAAGCTGGATTCCACTGCTAGTCACCATCCACCAATTAACTTTTAATATTAAACTGCTTGAAATTGATCTTTTTAGGTGAACTTGTATTATGTAAGTGGGTGTAAATGTGGAATTTTATAATAATTAACACTCTTTAGTTTAATTATTATTCTGATGGTTTTTGAGTGGAACACTGGGCTAAAACAGCACGTTTTATTACTTTGTCCTGTTCTCTGCTTTCTTCTTTACCTGGATCCACGATTTGCCACAAGTTTTCATTCCCTCTTCGTACGATCTGCTCCGTGTCACCCTCAGATGCCCAACTCGCGGTTTCCCATCCGAGTTTCAGTCAGTGGTCTCGCCGGCGTGTGCCAGACCCATCTCCATTTCCTTCGGGATATTTGTTGTTCATTGGGTACTTGACTGATTCATCCACTACCAGAGTTTGTAGTTTCTAATCCTTTCTGGTCGGCTATCTGATCTTCAGTATGGAGCCAGTGAAGGCAGCTGTTGATAAAAGTCTGTAATTGACTGTCGCAAATGCTTGCCATGAGGTGTTAGCCAGGTTTCTAGCCCGTATGGAAGAACTGAATCACCTAATACTGGTGTTGAAAATCCGAATCTTGTTCTGTATGCTGAGTGACGGCAGAAGATTTCCGAATGATGGAAGTGTATCTTGCCCTTATGATGCTGACTGGCTTTGACATCTTTAACCGTTCCGCTGACTGTGTTTGAAATGGTGCTTCCTAGATAAGTGAAGACAGGAAGTTACCTCTTCCAAAGTCCTCTTGTTGAAAGTCATTGGTGCTGTTTGTTATTGTTGTTGGTTAGTTGGTTGGTTATATTTATCACCTCCGTCTTGTCTATGTCCACCTAGAGTATCATCTTCGCTGCCTCTCCAGCAGGTTTGTTAGTTCCCGCCTGTAAGTCTTCGAGTTCATATGACACTGAGCATAAATCATCTGCAAAATCCAGATCTTCTAGAGTCTTCTTATCGGTGGTCCAGGGTATTCCTGTCTTCTCACTCCCATGCACAGTCTGACGTATAATCCAGTCAAACACAATCAGGAATATCAGCATTAATAGTAGTCGGCCTTGTATTACTCCTTTCTTCATTTCAAAAGCTTCTTAAGTTTTGCATGCCAAGTACTTCATAAGTAAAAATGCGCTACAGGTCATCATTTTACTAGCGACTTGTAAACGTTTTTTTGTAGGCCTTCAGTTAGCAACTATATCGGAAAATCTGCACTTTACTAGACACTCGTTCTACTCTAGACTCGTTTCCATGGCACTCTAAGTTCTGAAAACTGTTATCAGAGAAAATCCACGCGGTAGGGAACGTTACCTAACTCGGCTAGCAAATAATTTCAGATATTTCTTGTGGTTCCAAATGATATTTAATTTGACAGCCACAGTAAAAAGTCAATATGGGTGGATCATTGCATCAAATATTTCACAAAATGCTGAGTTTGGAATTCATGGCCTATTAGATCGGATCTCGGAGGCTAAATGGTCTGTGAGCTCGCCTTGTAGCCAGAAAGTCCTGAGCTCGAACCCCGGTGTGTGTGTACAGCTAGAGAGTCCCAAACTAGGGCGGAACAGCTGTCCAGTACTCCCTGGCTGGTCTTCCAATGGTTCCCTGACAGCTGTCAACTCATGATGAAATCCTGTAACCAAAGGCATTAAATTTTTCACACCAAGTTGCCTAAGATGTCGGTAATGACGGGAATTTTCAAAGGAAAACTTCTCAATAACGAAATCTACTGAATCCCTTTTTTTCTTTCACTTAAAATATATATAACTATCAATAACATAATTAACACTGAAATTGTATCATTTAAAACAATATGGACTATCTCTGGTTATTTATTTCTGAATTACCTGCATTCATCATGACCCCGATGATTTCCTTCAACAGTACAATTCTTTAGCTCATTTCCTGATTTATTTTAATAATTTTTTTGGGATAAATTTCATTTTCCGTGGTTTTCGTGACTGGTGAATGGGTCACTGGGTTTTCTTTTCAATAGAAGCGTAAAATATCACTATAATTGTATATGTCAAAATATGTGGTTGCCAGTGGCAACATGGTGAAATTACCAATAATTTTGTGGGGATTTGAACTTTTCAAGTATAATGGATAGATTTTTCTCTCAAATCGGAACCAGTGTGTTGGCTTAATTTTGGGAGAAACTTGTTTTTTCTTTTTGGAAATTTACTTTTACTTGTGTTTTGAATTTATTTACCTAGGGGGGTAGTTTTCCGTCGTGTGTAAATGTCCGATTGAGTCCTCTTTCTTTCTAACTCACTCACTGATGAGTAGTATTATATCTTCACTTTGTAGAAAAGCAACGCGAATTAACAAGTTGTATAAATTCATTTGGTATTTGTAATTTATTCAACAGACTTGCATTCCTAGTTCGATCATGAACCAACTTCATTTAGAGAAACACTCAAAACTATCATGGAGTACTGGACAGCTGTTTCATCCTGGTTTGAGATTCTTTGGAAGTATGCACTCACTACCCGCCTTCGAACCAATGACTTTCCAGTTACATGGAAGGATCATAGACTATTCAGCCACTGAGACCCAACTCAATGGTCAGTGCATGAATTCTTACTTCAACCGATTCGTGATTTTAGCGCAACTAACATCAGCCAATGTCATCACCGTTCCAAACCAGGATGAAACAGCTGTCCAGGAAGTACTCCAGTGCTGGTTTTCAATGGTCTGCTAACTGATATATCAATCCGTGGTCAAACTTGAGATTATTTATATCAACAAATTTCTCTAGTCTTATCAGCCGAGACAACTGTAGATAATTTAAACAAGAAATTTTAATTTACAAACTGAATGACAAGACATATCTGCTAACTTGATCATTATTTTACTGCTATTGTCACGGGTAATGCCCATCCATCATGCAGACAAATATTACGGGACTATCCGTTCATACAACATACCGGCAGAACTAATTAAACATGGTGGACCACAAACAGTTAAATGGCTGAAAGCAGCCTGTCAAAAAATCTGGCAAGAAAAAGAATGGCCTAAAGAATGGACTCAGTCACTAATCATTCTAATATTTAAGAAAGGGAACGCAAAGCAGTGTGAGAACTACAGAACAATAAGTTTAATCAGCCACCCAAGTAAAGTCATGCTGAAAGTAATACTGAACAGACTCAAAAAGAAAGTAGAGGAAATACTCTCAGAAGAACAGGCCGGATTCAGGCCGGGCAGAAGCACTGCTGAACAAATTTTTAACATAAGGGTACTAAACGAAAAATGTCTACAACACCAAAAAATGCTAGTACACAACTTTATCGATTTTAAGAAGGCCTTTGACCGTGTGTGGCACGAAGGCTTATGGCAAGTCATGAATAACTACAATATAGATAAAAACATAATTGAGGTTATTAAGTCTTTATATAACAAATCTAGTAGTGCAGTATCTCTAAATAATCAAACTGGCGAGTTCTTCAGAACAACTATAGGAGTACGCCAAGGGTGCATTCTCTCACCAGTCCTCTTTAATTTATTCCTCGAACATATTATGACACAAACCCTACATGACTTTACACCGACACTTAGCATAAACGGAAGACCAATTTCCAACCTCAGATTTGCTGATGATATAGCCCTCATTGGGGAAAACATTGATCAAGTTCAGGACCTCACCTCAAGACTTGATGTTGCAACCAAATCTGTGGACATGGAAATCAGCACAGAAAAAAGCAAAATACTCATTAACGGAGGAAACAACTCAGATAGATGTATCAGACTTGATGGACATGTATTAGAAGAGGTTGAAACTTTCAAATACCTTGGGTCTACCCTAACAAAAGATGGAAGGTCCACTAAGGAAATAAAAATTCGACTAAACCTAGCCTCTGCCACCATGTCCAAGTTAGGGAAAGTATGGAAGAGCAACATCAGCGTCTCAGCAAAAATGAAACTCTACTCGTCACTGGTCCTCTCTGTATTCCTATATGGATGTGAGAGCTGGACCCTGAATGCAGAGACAGAAAGAAGAATACAAGCCTTCGAAAACAAAAGCTATAGAAGGATCCTAGGAATAAGTTACCTTGAAAGGAAAACTAATGAATATGTCTTACACCAGGTCCATAGACTGGCAGGAAAACAGGAACCACTCCTTTCAATCGTAAAGAAACGGAAACTACAATGGTTCGGCCACACGGTAAGACATGACACATTGTCCAAAACGATTCTACAAGGCACAGTAGGAGGAGCACGAAAGAGAGGTCGACCGAATAAGAGCTGGCTTGACAACATAAAAGAGTGGACTGAAATGCCCTTGGATACGCTACAGAAAATAGCATTAAACCGAGAAGAATGTCGAAGACTGATAGCGCGAACTGTCATAGCACCCCCACGACGAAAGTCAAGGGACTGATGATGATGATGATGATCCGTTCATCACTACAATAGCCAGACTAAGT